CATAGTCTATCTTTCAACTAGTGAATGTAAATGGTGATGAGTGGGGGCAGCTTCAATACTGAATTGATTGCCACTTCGATCCTTCCTCGTCGGAACAGTCATCGGAGAATCAGACAAAGCTCAACTTTCGATGGATGAAGTGACCAAGAAAAGTTTCGAAAATGGTCTAACGGCCGTGGAGGTCGGTTCTCGCTATCCAAGAGAGGAAGAACACTACTCAGTATCCTCCAGTGGTTGGGCGTGTTGCAAGCTGCAGCAAGTTCCGACCCAAACTCAATCACAAATGCTTCCTTAGTCTCTGTTACAAACATTCTTTTCAATCTACTGGCACAATGGCCCGCCAATCAAGCCATCATCGAGTATATGGCTGCGTTGTTGAAATCACAATTATTGCCTCTACACATGTTTACGTCCGTGTTCTTACGCACCACGCGTAGCTCGGAATTGATGGATCCACGTTCTTTGGATCTGGTCTGTCAACTAATCATTTCTACGACTCAAGCGTCACCTTTGGATACGATAGTGTCCGTGGTCGACCCGCTCGAACCAATTGCTACGACACTACTGGATACTTACAACCTAGTGAGAAACGCATTGGGAGTTCCTTATACTACAATGCATGACTTGCAGTCATCCGCATCGAATATTTTGCTATTAGCTTTGCAGTACAGCCGACCTTTTCTACCTCAGCTATCATCAACAGAGATATTGCAGGTGTGGATTCGCCCGAGGCATTCAACAGGAAAACACTCGTCTTACTTCCTCTTCTAGCTCCTCACACTTGGACACGAAATTTACCAGCAACCAAATATTAGGCCTGAGCTGTTGAATCTACTCGAAAATGTGAATCAGCTTCTCAGCAGTCTTCTTTCTGTATCGAACACTCTTCCTGCTACGCATGGAGAGATCCTGGCGATGAGCATGCCTCAACCGGAACTAGGCCCATCCGAAACATCGGATATCGTCTCGTGTAGTCTGCTCATACGAAATTCGGTCAGTCCATATCCTCTCTTCATCTCACTTGGACCTATAACTCACTACATGACGTCAGGTCGATTACCGTGCACATTTATACGGATGCGGCAATATTGATCACACCATCACTATGATTATGGGCCTCTTCAGATGGACTGGGTCCTCTGTTCAATCTTTCTGCACCGAAATAATTCGCTCCTCTACACTTCATTTCCTACAAAGCTTCCAGCTTCGTATTGCTGACCCGCTAGGTTTACAAGTCTGGTCTTCTTTTATCTATGGCGCGGTAGGTTCTTGACCCTATTCTTGACATCTAGCTTCTAAGTTTTATGCAATTAATAGCTTCCTCTGATTCTAAAACGATTTATTGAAAATTCTGGCGTGCCAAATTCGCAGGTGTGGTTCTCCTGTTGCATATCGAATCCACTAATAGAGGCGCAGAATACTGTTCAATCAGCCGTAACTACTGCATTTGAGATGCTACAATCGCAGCTAGAGTTTGCGCTACCATTCCCCGTTTCAATGGAGACAGATGATTTGACCTCAATCCGGTATGTGCCCAGTCATAGGTCAAGTCCTACTGTGTGCTCAAAGATAAAATATAAAGCAACCCAAGCTCTTTCCGCATCGAATTCCTCAATTCTTTGGTATCATTTGGCATCTTGGACTCTGCAGCAGCCAAAAGCATCCAAGAGTCGTGGTCAGAAAAGACATCGCCATGTCCCCTCCTGAATGAACTGAGCTCTCAAGGTCAAACAGAAGACGTAAGTCATAGTTCAGCTTTGTACCGATCCTTGGCCCTCTTAACCAATAAATTTGAAGGAGCTACTTGATAATTTCGTACAGTCTGGGGGAGATGAGCAGAAACGAATCCTTGAACTTTTTGTCACAGACCCCTGCCACCAGAGCACCTTCGCAGAGGGACTAACTGCCGTGAGTTTTATCAGGTCTCTTGGGGCAGTCTTATTAACATTGAGTCCAGAAAACAGAAGAACTCATCAGTTCATTCGATTTAATTGCACTTTCGACACTCTGTGAGACTCTATACACACATCCATCAGCTTTGGATGTTCTAGCCCTCTATATATCTATTCCATCATTCCTCAAAACATTTTTGAAACTGGTGGATAGCCTAGATTGGTCAAGCATAGGTAAACCGCTCA